TTAATGTTTTTCTTTTAAAGAAGATGGGTTCTTTAAAAAAGAAGCAATGGAAATACCATAAATCCATGATATTATTAAACGATAAAATATTACCAATACTACAGGTCCAACAAACACACCTATCATTCCAAACGCTAATAAACCACCAATAACTCCAGATAAAATCATTTGACCGCCACTGCTCTACAGAATAACAACACGCTACTATCTTTTTCTACTTATTATATCATCCCGTTTAAAGATTCACCAATATATTATAATTTGAAAAACAACATTAAAAATGTATAGGCTTATCGATTTCAATTTAATTATTAACACTTAATATTTATTCAACTACATTTATTATTTACCTCGCGTAATGCCTACCGTTTAGGAGTAAATTCTTCTAGAATGTATTGTTTAAAATAATTTTAATTTAATCATTATATTATAATTTCATTAAATAGTACCGTGGTTCGTGACTTAAGCCAGTTCCATGGCAGACACAAAATCAATTTTAATGTCCGGGTTGGCGTTCATTCGGGCCGGGTAGCGTGTGGTGTGCTAGGTTTCACTGGAGGTACTAGAATCCCATCTGATTCAGGAAGCCGTTGGCAATATAGTGCGTGGGGCCGTGACGTTCACATAGCATCATATATTGAGAACAGTGGACGTCCCGGAATGGTGCATGTAAGTCGTGCAACAGTCGATCGGGTTACTAAGAAAGGATTTTCTGATACTGCAGTTGATAGAATAAATCATCTTCCACCGGGAGTAAAACTCCGTAACAATACTATCAACTATCAAGCTGATTCCAAAGACAACTTAGACGACTACTCATTTGAACGTAGTCATGAGGAAGAAAGGAATCAGTTTCTCCGCCACAACCGAATCGACACATATTTTGTTATTCCCAAAATAATAGTAAGTTATATATGTCAAAGCTTAAGTTTTCATAAAACACTAAACTTTTAATGATTTTTTTTTTCAGTTTCCTCATCCAGAAAATATTGAAAAGTTGACAGATAATTATAAAATGTATGAGAACGGTAAYTCGGATATTGTTTCACTGATACTACTATCAGTGGATCGACAACTGCTAAGAGAAGAAATGCGACAAAAAAGTGGTATCGCCGGGTTAAAAACTGAAACAGAGATGGATTTAGAACAACTGCCAAATATTTCAACAACATCGGCTGTGGATATGCCGGCGACAATGGCTGCTTTGGCTCCTGTCCTTCCCGTAGCCTCGGTAATGAAAAGGAACCGCCACAGGCGTAGTAGATATTTTGATCAAGAGTCACAACAAGCGGCTTCTACAAATCTTAATGACAATTCCGCTATTACATCATCAATGGTATGTATCATTTAGTATTTAATAAAAAGTAATAGTGGGTAAGTATGTACACATATGTGTCACAGGCCACTTCATGTTAGAATTGCGCATTGTATATTTTCTTTATATGTAATCACAAATACGCGAATCTTATATTTTTAGGAGCGTTACGGCCGGTGGGAAAATGATGTATTTGTAGTCTGTAACAACAATAATCATGAGAAGGTTAGAAGTAAATCCGACGACGATGATCTCTTTCGGATGGCCAAGTCACAGTTACTACTTCTGTGTGTAATTATTGCCCTGTTTGTGGTTAACGTAACAACTATGCCATGGACTATGTTACTGGGGATAACATTTATTACACCGTTTGTTATAACTGCAGTGAGTTTTTTAAAATGTATATTAAATAATATTAGTTACGGTTAGTACCATAGACATAATATATATRGACTGCGCGTTTAGCCCTTATCATGACAGCAATAATAAACTTAGGTAGAAGGTAAATAATCATGGAAAAATGTTTATCTCAACATTTTTCATCTATGATACGGAATTAATAGTTACCACAAGAGTCGCCGCATTTTTTTGTTTTACATTTTTCGATTTTTTGATTCCAGTTATAATAGCGTAATATTATAATAGACATAATATAGATCATAATCTATATTACATGTATGAATATTATTATCTGTTATAATATTATATCATAGAATACATAAAACATAGCATTAAGCATAATATTTTATATTATTAATTCAAGTTTTATTAGTTTATTAGTTTTGGTTGT